TCCAACATTTGTATGTAATTGGAATTTTATACAAAAAAAATAATTAATTAAATAAATTTAACATTTTATAAAATTTTATTCTACAAATTTGATTGAATGAAAAATACAAATATTTTCATATTAAAATGCAAAATTGCTACGTTCTCGCAATTGTATAATACTTAACTGTTATTTGTATAATATCTTAAATCATAGTTTCATGCTTAAGTTGATCTAACCTAAAAAAAAACGATAGAATTTCTTGACTAGTTGATTTATATTAAACAAAAAAGTAACATATATCGCGCCCACGTTGATTTTGTAAACCTTTCACAGCGTTATGAATAAATAGAAATATATTTTCTTCCTTTTTGTTTGTTTGTTTTTTTTTCTTTTTGTTTTTATTGACATCATTTTTGTACAAGATAAATTGAAATGATTTTTCATTAAATAGAATTTTCTTGCTAAAGAAATTTCGTCACGGTTCACCATGTATTTCTCGTTATTCGTATAACATTCTAATGTTACCTATAATATGTTACCTTTCTTCTAACATTTCTCAAATGCAAATCTAGGAAGTATAAAAGAATTGTCATTCATCGTTTAAGTACACATATGAAGACATTTTTCATACTGTATACCGTTTGTCGACTAATTATTGTAATTCTACACACTGACTTCTCTTTTTTTAACTTCTTACGTCATTCATTGAACCTATTATAATGAGATGAATTTAAACGATCGTTTCAATTAATTAACAAGAGACAGAGTATACAATGTTTCTTTTTTTCTTTTTTCTTTTTTCTTTTTTTTTTTTCTTTTTATCAGACTAACTTCCTCATTTATTTTACGTGAAACATCGTGAAAATTTCAAATTGTTATTTGTTTGTTTTGAAAAAATTATCGTCTCATTTGGAAAATAATGTTTTGTTGGACGCCATTACTGATATACTTTAACCTCACTTTTTCAATCTCGATTTTTTGGTTTGGTTTTATTCATCTTTATTTACGTATTTTATTATCTATTTTATTCATTATTTATTTCTTTTCTTTTTTAATTTTCTCATTTATTTTACGTGAAACATCGTGAAAGTTTAAAATTGTTATTTGAATTGTTATTAGAAATAATTTTTTCGTTAGTCGCCATTACTGATATATGCTTAACCTCACTTTTTCAGCCTCATTTTTTTTGTTTGTTTTTATTTATCCTTATTTATGTATTTTTTTAAAATTACATTTCGGATGATACGATGTAACATTAATTTTATATAAAAATCGTTGTTATTTTTAATAAAAAAAATGGATGCATAATAAATGTTATTTTCCATATTGAAGCTTGATCAGTATCGCGAACGTTTCTTAATTAAAACGAATCAAAGGAAATATCTTGTGCTACCGTTTGCCTTTCACGCGAACCGATATATAGGGCACATTCGTTACATATGTAACATATGCATCGCGAATGTTCTACACACAGACTAAGAAAGTTCACTTTTTCAATGTGAATATATGCGTGACATACAATTAAGTAATTATTATTCTTTTCTTTTCTTTTTTTTTTTTGTTCTATGGTTTTTCTTTAATGATTTCCTCGTTTAAAGGTCTAACTCGTTGAGCTTTCACCGATCTACGAATAAATATGCATAAATATATATATNTAACATTGATACAAAAAAAGGCAACAAAATAAATTCAAATGAATTAATTATTCAATGCACATATATATATATATATATATATATATATATAAATGTATCGTTTGTAACAATAAGTAACTTTCCATTAGTTCATTAATAATTCTAGGATTTATTAATAATTTATGAATAATATTAAATATCTGAATTTATATTATAGGAGTGGTGTTTCATAATTCAAAATTTTTTTTTTATTCGCTAATAAAGTTTTATGTTAGAAATTGTTTAGTAAATTTATATAGTACATATATTCTTTAATTTATGATAAAATAATATATATATATATATAAGTAATATAATAATAATTAAAATTTAAAATTATATTGCATTTATTGAATTATAATTAATTCATTAATCAAATTATTAATATAATTAATAATAATAATAATAATAATAATAATAATATTACAAATTATAATTAATATTAATAATATTAAAAATTATTAATGTAATTAATATAAATTGCTAAATTTATATTAATATGAATAAAATTTAATAAAAATACAATTAATACAATTATTCAATATAAAATAAAACAACGTTTCCTACAATAATAATAGTAATAATAATATTAATAATAATAATAATAATAAAAATTATAATTAATATTAATAATATTAAAAATTATTAATATAATTAATATAAATTGTTAAATTTATATTAATATAAATAACATATAAATAAAAATACAATTAATACAATTATTCAATATAAAATAAAACAACGTTTCCTACAATAATAATAATAATAATAATAATAATAATAATACTATAATATTAATAAAAATAAATAAATCTCTAATAAATATTTAAAAAATTCATGTACTCGTATTAAAAAAAAAAAAAAATAAAAAAAAAAATGAAAGAAGGAAGAAAACTATTATAAAATATGATTTATTTCTAACGACTCATCGTCAATATTGGAATAGAAAAAGAAAAAAGAAGAAGAACAAGAAGATAAGAAAATTTCCTTTTTTATTTTGTTTTTTTTTTCGGGATCAACGTGAACGTAAGAATGTGTCGTAGTCTGTTGGTATATACCGGGTATCTTGAGGATAATGGAGGACTTCCGTTTCCCGTGGCAGGCCTCGAATAACAATGACTACGTGTATTCGTCTCTTGCGTGTACTTTCTTACACATAATATACATATACGTCTTTACTTGTAACTCATAAATGCTTGCAAAGCACACACACACACACACACACACACACACATAAGGATACTCTGTGTAAATCAGTTCAGTCGGATAAATATAAAAAGAAAAAAAAATCAGATAAAGGATAAAGGATAAAGGATAAAGGATAACAATTATTGTCAAGTGAAGAAAAATGATTAGTTGATTCAAGGAATAATTGAATTTATATTTGAATAATATTCTATGATCTTTGTTATAATTATTATGACCAATGGTTGATAATTGTTGCTTAACTTGATAATAATTAATTATTCGTAATTTTTTTTTTTTTTTATTAATTAAATTATTATTTATTATTGTTATTTGGGTTGAGTATGTTTGTGTTTTTTTATTATTTGAAATTGTTTAATATTGAAAATTTTATTTGTAATTTATATTAATTTGAAATATTTTTGTTTCAGCTTTCTTGTCAGTTTTGAACTTCCGGCATGGCTTACCTCCGTGCAGCGCAAGTGAAGCTATCGTGAGTATTTTCAAATTTTCATTATTTATAATAATATAATTATTTTATATTATACATATTTATATATAATTATCATTAAAGAAAATATAGTTATAGTTAATATTAGAAAAAGTACAATTATTTTTATAAATTTATATAATTATATCTTATTTATATCAATAATTATATTTAATTATATATTATAATATTAATTTATATTATTATTTATTCGATTTAAAAAAAAAACAATCAATTATAAAACAATGAAATACAAATTGTTTACTAAAATTATATTCAAATTAATTATTATAATAATCAAATTAATTTTAATACAAATAATAGTTAATATTATTTGTATTAACAAAATTGTAAGTAATTGTTCAAATTAAAATAAATTAGTATAAAAGTATATTTTTAATTTGTCAGATAAAAGAAAATTGAATAATTTGAATGTTATTATCGCCATTACCGATATACCTAATCTTACTTTTAATTTTGGAATAAATTAGAATAAAAATGTTGGAATATTGGTTTCCATAGATTTCTAATTATTCAAATGTTCCTAGAAGTACTTGGATTTCCATAATCTGCCGGATACTAACTTTTCGTGCCAAGGAAAAGTGATTGGTGGTTATTATGCGGACATCGAAACTGGATGTCAGATGTTTCATGTATGCACAATCGGTCAGAAAGGTAATTTAGAATATTTTCTTTTTTTTCTATCTTTTAATATATTATTATATCTATACTTATCTATATATATATATATATATATATAGATAAGTTACTCCGGTTAATGCCACACCCATTGTATAACTGACACTTAGTGATCATAAAGTTGATCAATATTGATCTGTTATCTGTTAGATCTACCTTTTGACGGAACTCTTATTGACCTTTATTTATTTTTTTTTATTAACATTGATACAAAAAAAGGCAACAAAATAAATTCAAATGAATTAATTATTCAATGCACATATATATATATATATATATATATATATATATAAACACACGCGTACACGTTAATACATAAAATATAGACATGTGTTAAAATAATAAAGCAAAAGAGATAAGATTTTCTCGTGACGAGACAGTAGTGCCAGACACTCTTGAGTCTCGACTTAGGTCAGTAAACGTTCCTCAACGACCATGACATTCTCTGCGGGTGATCTCTCTCGATCTATTACAAAACTTAATCCTTGCATTTGACGATCTATTAGGTGAGAGAGAGGACCTTTTCGATAACATTAAGATCAACATTTCTTATTACAATGATACAATACAAATTTCATTGTATATATATTTTTTTCCTTCAATTCCCTCCCCCTCCCCTCCCTCGTCTACACCCCCTCCCTCCTCCCTTTAATCCTCTCCCCCCACCAATCAGTCAATTATTTCAAATATCAATCTCATTTTTGTTAAATCATTTTAAATCTAATTGAAAGATCTATCGTTCAACCCCCTGCTCCCTGACCCCCTTCTGTTATCTCATCCCTTGTCATACTTATAAAGATTTATCTCTTTCGTATTAATACAAATTATCTCTCTACCAACGTTGAAATTAAGTTTGCACAATCATTTTGCGCGCTATTATAATGTTTTGAAAGTTTCAACAATCATTTATATGGGTTTCTTTTCTTTTTTTTTTTTGCGTTCACAACTCATACCGAAGATTAATGAACCTGTGACCTTCCAAAGACGAGTTTCTCGAATGATTTATATAACTAGTTTTGTTTCCATGATGTAAAAAAATTGTACGAAATGATTATTATTATTATTATTATTATTTTTATTGTTGTTTTATTTTAATTTAAGAAAAAATTCGTTATGAACAATTTGTTTCATTATGATTGATCGGAATTATGTTAAATCATGGATTAATTGGGTAAAGAAATGATTGTAATGTTCGATGAAAATATTAATTTACAAACCCCCTCTAATGTGGTGGATTAAATGAACACGTAAGGTCCTTAAAGGGCCCAGAGATCTTCAAATTTTTTTTTATTAGAGTTAGAGAAAAATGGAGTGTTTTAAATAAATTTATTTAACCTTTTACACTCCGAATTGTATTTCAATTTTGTGACCAACAGTTTCCAACGTTTTTAATTGTTTTGTTTAAAATTTATTGTAACTAAATTAATTAAGGTAATTTAATTTGATAAGATTACAAATGTTGGGTCACACTCAACATAGTAAAGGATTACTATTATTTTTTGTTTTTAAAACTTTATTTTTCTAATTTAAATTTGAGGATCCCAAAATTTGTATTTTTTGGGTCCCCAATTTGTTTTGATTTGTCATCAACTAACTCCCCAAATATGAGTTGAATATGAACAGCCCCGAATAATATTCCTCTTCTTCACCGTGAGATTTGGTTTCAGACGAGATTATGGATATAAGGTTCCTTTGTTTGAATGGAACCATCTTCGATCAAGAGACTAGAGTCTGCGAACGTGTCGACGAAGTTGATTGCAGCAAGAGCGAACAGTTTTATAATCTTAATTTGGAGCTCTATGGAAACAATGCCGTCACTTTTGGGTAAGTTTAAATAATATGTTATGTTATTAATTGAATCATTTTATATTACTTGTTTGTATAATAAATTGTAAAAATGTTTTAGCTTACATGAGAATGAAGAAGAAGATAATCCCTCAGAATCCGTGGAAAATAGTCAACGTACTACCTCTGCACATCCTACCGGTGGCACAACAACAACAACAACATCACGACCAAGTAAACCATCAACAACAACAGCTAGAGGTTCATATTCAACTGGATATCCACAGCAACAATTTAGACAAGGATATCATCATCAATACATTCTTCACAATGATGATAGAAATGATAATCAAGCAACTTCCTATCAATTGTTTAGTAATCAAGGTGTTAGTTCAACAACTGTACAAGAAGTACCTCAAGCTCATCAAATTAGATTCAGTTCAACTGCAAATCCACAAATCATTCGTAATGAACAATCAACCATATCACCGATCTATCATATCACATCTTCGACTATCCAAACATTATTGGATAGAAATCCGAGCAATTCAGCATTGATTAATCCAATATATAATAATCATGGAATTGTCAGCACTACGGAATCATTTAATGTGCATAATCCTAGAGATACGTCAGAGTATCGTGACAATGAACATCGTAAGCATCCTTTAGAAGCTATACAATCAACCAATCAAGGAAAGGTGATACTATTATTTATAATTTTATACACATTTTTGTATTTAACCTATTAAATATAAATCTTTATATTACAATTGAAACTCTACTTTATTATAAGAAAATGTTAGCTAATAATGTACATTATTTTATTTGTTTTGTAGGTATCAAAATTAACAATATCACCAGTACCTTCTCAAGAGGAACCAAAAGATAGTCAAGCTTCTCAACAACAAAGAATTTCGTCGAATTTTCTTCCTACTCCAGCTAGCGTGGAAACAACGATTAAATCATTTTATCCAACTCCAAGGACATCACCGAAACCTTCAGTATCAACATCTTCTAATGGTCAAATTACTCAACATATTCACGTGCCACCTCCTATTCCGGTTCCACAATTGAAACCGCATCATATCACTATAAATCTACCACCACCGGATATTCAGAGGATTATACAAAACCCACCACCACCTTTGTTACCTTCCCAATCTCGCGTCATTGTTACTGCTAAAGCTAGCGTTAGCGATGAAACAGGAAGACCACTTAACACTACACAATTAGTGACTATACCTCTTCCTACTATTCCAGCTACTTATGATGATTATAAAGAAGGTGATGAATCCTTTGATCCATTTTATCGCGATGTACCTAAACTTCGCAATCATCGTCGTGCGGTTATACGCAAAGTTATTAAAAATCATAGAAGAAAAAGATCAGTCAAGCAACTTGATAATCCAGCTATTCGTATCAACACGAATCTTAATTCAAGAGTTGTAAGTGTACATCCATTAAATACAAATTTAAGACAATTAAGGCATACTAGTAAATTTGATGATACTCAATTAAAAGAAGATGAAACAATTAATAAAAAAAATGTTAAACAAAGATCTATTATTAAAATGAAAAATGATCATAATGTTGATGATTCAGAAACGAATGCTTCTTATCACATAAATTTAAATTCAGAAGAAGAAGAAAAGGATAATGATGATGATGATGATGATGAAGAAGAAGAAGAAGATAATGATCAAGATGAGAAAGTATCTGAACATGATCAAAAAGAATCAGAAGAAAATGTTGAATCTGGTATAGAAATATTGGATCTTAATGAGTATACAGATTCTGAAACAGATACAAATGTAGATCAAACAACTGAATCAATCATACTGATTAACAATACTGATACAAATGGTAATACCTTTGAAGTAACATGGTTTACAGATAATATTACTAAAACTGTAGAAAATGCAGACTCACAGATAATTGCATACAACATTTCAGATAAATCCAATAAAAATAAAGAGGAAACAGAAATTGACATAATTTCTGATATGAAAAATGATGATGATGGTAATAAAAATATAGATAAAGTGTCATCGAGAAGTAAAATCACCAAACCTGTCGACACTGTTACAGTTTCTAGTATTTTGTCTACAAATAAAAAAGAACAAAGTAAACAAGAACAAGTTTCTAAATATAATGTAGAAGATAAAGCAACAGATGATGATGATAAAGATTATATGTATGATGAAGAAAAAGATGAAATGGAACATAATTCAGATAAGATAGATAAAACATCTAATAATGAGAAAATAATAGAAGATTTAATTACAACTACTGAAATTGATAATTCTAGAACTGATACTTCAACGAAAAAACTTCATTCGAGAATATCTAGAAAAAAAATGTCTGCAAAACGGAAACATCAGAAAGAAAATGATAGTATGATTGAAATGATTGATCCTGAAAATACTGAAGAACGAGTCTCGACCAATACATCTACCTCTAATTTGGAAACAGAAATTAAAGAACCAGATAATCATGATTCGAATAAATCAGATAAACCAGAAGTAAAAGAAATGGATACTGTGATAAAGTATAGTTCTAAATTTGCAAAAGATTTAACATCGAATAAAGAAAGTGTTGGTAGAAAACGTACACAAATTAACAACGTAGTCAAATATGAATCTGAAGAAAGGAATGTAGATAATTTAGGAAAAGTAAATAATTCTAGTAAATATCAATTGATGAACGATCAGGAAGCATTAGAATCATCTAATGAAAATATTGAAAATAAGACAGATGAATTGAATACGTTTGTAAGCAATATAGAAACTACAGAACCAATTAATGTTTCTTTAGAACATTTTGAAGAAAAAGTAGATATCATTGATAAAAAAATCAATTCTTATACAAAAGAGATTTCGGTTGAACAATATCAAACTACGAATGATGTATCGACGACCAATGGTAAGAATAAAAAATTGGATAAAACTTTGAGCGAAAATTCAGATGACAACGATGACGATGACGATGACGACGATGAAAATGATCGTTTAAAAAATAAAAAACGTTTGCAAGAAGAAGAAGAAAGATCGAATTTAGAAGAAAATTATTCGTTGGAAAAAATTTATCATAAAAGTAAACATAAAAATGTAACGCACGTTGACGAACAAGAATTTCATCAAATGCATGAACATTCTACGATGGAAAATTTAGAAAGTATAGTTTCAAACGACGATTTTCCTGAATATGATTATTCTATGAATGCATCAGATTATGATTGGGATAATTTATACGACTATACTGAATCTGATGACATAGAAGATGTTACCACTTTGATAGAATCTGACAATCACGAACAAATAACGGAATCATATGAAACTGTAACTGAATCTGTTGGAGTGAAAGATTTTAAAACAGTTGAACAGGAAGACAGTACAACGGGTGTTCTGAAATTTATCGACGAGTTACCAAATATTAATAAAACGGAAAGTAGTACGGAAAAAAAAATAGTTTCTGTTGAACCTTCTGAACAAGATTATGTTGACGATAATTACGAGCCACTTAACTACAAGGAACAAGAATCTATGGTTAATACTGAAAATCCAAGTGATGATAAGATTGAAAAAGATATTAAAGTTGTAACTGTCGATGAAAAGTTATCAGATAATGCAGATGACATTAAAACAGATGATATTAAATTAGAGGAAGACAAATCAATGCAAGAAAATGTTAAAGAATTTGACAAATTTGTTGAAAATAAGGAACAACATTTGACTACTACATCAACTTCAAAGACCACGTTAGAGACAATAACTTTATCCACATTGATATCATCAACATTACCACCGAGTACATTATCAGCAACATCTTTGCCACCAATTACAACTTTGCTAACAACAACGACAGTTCCAACAACGATTGTACAAACGACTGTTCCAACAACGATTGAACAAACGACTGTTCCAACAACGATTGAACAAACGACTGTACAAACAACTGTTCCAACAACAACTGTACCAACTACAACTATACCAACTACAACAACAACCACAACTCCCCGTTCTGTACCTAATCTGTTCAAACCATTTTCACTTAGAAAAAATTACAATTACATTCCTCCAACAACAACACCTAATCCAGTAATCATTAAAACTAGATTGCCTTTGTTTAATCCAAAACCAGCCAAACCACCTAAATCTTATAACGAATTAGTACCAAAGCCAGTTATTAGAAAACTTACTTTACCAACTCGAAGACCACCCACTACCACATCTACAAGTACTACAAAAAGAAGCGAAGAATTAAATAATATTGAAAGCACAACAAGCGCTATGGAAAGAAGCGAAGAATTAAATAATCTTGAAAGTACGACAAATGCTATGAAAAGAAGCGAAGAATTAAATAATATTGAAAGTACGACAACAAAAATGTTAGATAATTTAAACGTAACTCAGATTCTTACTTTATCTACTGATAGTAAAGATTCACAATCTTTGAATTCAAATATTGAAAATTTCACTTCGTATCCTTTGTCAAGATTATCAACGCTTTCCATAGCAGCAGTAGGTGTTACTTCTTCTAGTAGTGATACAAGTAACATTTCAGATACTACAGAAACAAGTACAAGTGATACGGATATAACAAATGAAGATATCATGGATGTTTCAACCATACCAACAATTATTCCTACTTTAACAGAAAAGGAATATACGGATAAAAATAAGCATACAGAAACTAAGGAAACTACAACTCCCATTAGTACTAGCTATTATCTTCATGATATAACAGTTGCCACAACAACTGAAAATATACGTTCAATAAATCATCCAATATCAACGCCTAGTACAACTCTAATTGACAGAATCGATAAAATTCCATCATTCGAATCAACTAAGCGATTGAAAGACAAATCTTTCTCTATTTCTAAAATCTATGGCAGTTTTAATTGTTTGGAAAGAGAGATGTATAGATTTTATGGTGACATGAGAGACTGCCGGTTGTTTCATTATTGTTCTCCCGGTTTTACTTCAAAACAAGTTTTAGATTTTCGCTTTGTTTGCGAAGAAGGTACTATGTTCGATGAAGAAAGTCAAAGTTGTCGACACGATATTAAAAGTACCAAGTGCCCTAATAGACTGTGGTAAAATAAGAAAAACATTGTCATTTGTTTGATTTATGTTTTCTTTATCGTCAATATTTCTCCGTCCCATATTATCTTGTGCTATTGATTTTAATAATTAGTGAATCCTTAGGACTCCTTTAATATATTTATAATTTTAATTTAATACACGTAAGATCCCTCTAGAAGGAGAATCCTTCTTCTAAGCATTAGCCATAACTGTGAGTAAATGCGTTGGATTCACACTTATTAAAATTAATGCTATCTCTGATATATATGTAATATGCGTTTATAAATTATATATTATCGTAATGAAGAAAAACATCATATCAAATTAAAGATTTTCAACAAGTGATATACGTAATACCCATTTTAATGAGATTTTTACTCGACTTTTTGATTGAGTAAAGTATTCGTGAGATTTTAGATGTTAATGACTGAAGGATATCGGTTCCTATGCTGCATAGGCAATGGTTTGTAAAAGGATGTAAAATTGTTTATATTTGATATTTATGAATATGCAAGTACATGTGATAACATAATTGCTTTATTAAAAAATACCGTTATTTCTTTCATATCTTTTATTTTCTTTTTTTTTTTCTAATTGATCATAAAACAAAATACAAAATTGACTGCAACCTGCAGTTTTATATGTATTATAATTTATATTTTATTTTTTATCATACAACAATTATATTTAATTATTAAAATACATTCTTCAATGTGTGTTTGGATTCGTTGTATATACTAATTCCATCGAATTTTGCTAAATGCTAAAATAAGCATGCAAACATAATTATGTCATGTGTCATACACATCGTTTTCAATGATGCTAATATTCATAAATAAAGATTTGTTCCCAATAATTTATCTTTTTCTATAATATGTGCATAATATTCCTACATATATGTATAATTTTCTGCGTGTGTGTTGGAGTTGGATAAGTATTCACACACATTCAAATAAAGAGAATTACATAGACGTATTATTAAGCCATCTAGTGAGAATCATATAAACTATCATTGCGCCATCTAGTGAGTATCATATAAACTATCACTGCGCCATCTAGCTGAGCAGGTAGTATTCATTTAAAAGACTGACATATGTAGGTTATTTTTGTTTCTTTTTATATATATATATATATATACAGGATCATTCATAACCTATCTGGATGCAACTTATAAGCTTAATACGTAGATAAATTTAATAATGATTGGCAATGATATGAGATTGAAAAAGTTAGAACGAATAGATATTTGTATTTGTTACTGTAAGTATTGTACTATATAATTTGATTACAAAATTAATATACATGATGTTTAAAATAAAAATTAATCTACCTCATGAATTTTAATGATTCACACAGTGAATCATAACTTTCAATTGTTATGATTATTATAAATTGATGGATTGGTTTATTAATTAATTGACTTAATTTTTATCTATCATTCGAAACAGGTTTAAAATGAAAGTAATCATTTTAAAGTTTCAGTTACATGATGCTGTCAGAAATAATTATTTACAATTATATTTATAATAATTATATTTTATGAGATGCAACCAGATGGATTGATCAGTTAATATTTAACTAAAGGTTATTTGAATCATTTAAAATAAGTGAAACGTGAGCGTCGATTGCACATTGTGAAATTATTTATAAATAAAAATATATAATTTTCCAGTTAAAAATAAGAATTTAATTGTGTATCATGACCTTTCATCCATTACAAAGAAGATCCACCTTTCTAATCGGATTTGGAATTGGTTTTGTTTTGGCTACGTTGTTTTATTTAATAGGAAATTTGTTTAACGAAAGTACCATTTATAATGAGAAAAAATTACAATATCAACAATATTCAGATGATTTATCAATCGTTTGGATGACACCTATCAATTTTCTCTCAAGAGGTATCAAGTTTCGTAATTGGATCAAAAGTAATTTGACGAAAGGATTAGAAAATGTATCATACGACAAGTGGTTTGCTGGATACAATTTGCAAAGAAATGCCATTGATATGGATCGTTACTTGTACGAACCAAAATCAGATAATACTTCACAGGAATCTGTTATGTTGGAATCTAATTGGTTGAAATCTAAAATATTTATTACATGTGTCGTTTTTGTGGAGAAAGTTAAATTGGCAAAATCCATAAAAGATACTTGGGGTAATCATTGCAATAAAATTTATTTCTTTGGACAACGCATACAAGATTCTCAAATACCTATCATCAATTTTACTATAAAGTTTCAATCCTCTTGGCATTTTCTATGCGAAATTATGAATTATATATGGAAAGACAATGAAATCAAAGAATGGATACTTTTTGTAAAAGATGATATGATGGTGATCCTAGAAAACTTACGTTACATAGTTGCTCCATTAAATTACGAAGAAAATTATTATTTGGGTCATGCGGTTGTAATGTGGGGCCAATCGTACAACGTTGCTCAAGCAGGCTACGTATTAAGTAAAGGATCTCTTAGAAAAATGATAGAAATGTTTAATACGTCTGAAAAATGTGCAGGTGGTGGTAAATATTGGAAAAAGGAAGATTATTATCTTGGTAAATAATTTATTTATTATTTCACATTCAAATGATATATTATATGTAAATTGTAATGTATATATTTTAATGTTACTTACAGGAAAACATTTATCATCTATGGGTATACTACCAATGGATACACGGGATGAATATTTAAGAGGAACTTTTCATGGTTATGCTTTAAATAATTTATTATGGGGAATTGCAAAAACTGGTAGTTATTGGACACATGCTTTGTATCCTTCACGAAAAGAATGTTGCTCTTCCATGTCAGTAACATTTAGTGCTACCGAAGCTGACAAAATGTTTACTTTTAATTATTTATTATACAATTTACATATTTTAACTAATAAAGGAGTTTTTGGAAACAAACGTGCTCCAATGTCCTTGCCGGAAGAAGATGTAAGATTTTACAAATTATTTATTCATTTATATATTTTATTTTGTATTCTTACGAATATTGTTTATCTATTTGTTTAATTTATTATTAATTGTAGGTATGGAAAATCGCATTAAAAGAAGAATTTAATATAACTAACTTGAATGAGATTTCTAGCGATGCATATTATGAAATATGGCATTCGAAGTATTCCGAACCTGAGCAATTGATATTAAAAAATTATCCAAATACTTCTAACGTATTAACTTCTATTTTAACTGCTTATGAATCTCGAAATCAAACGTCCGATAAATTATCATTAAAATAAGAAACAGAGAAAGACTAGATTTATACTATGACATTTTCTATGAAGAAAAAAAACAAAAACGTTACATATATTTCTTGTTACAATATCAAATTTATAAGTATCAATATTATTTTACAAATATTGTTCTTTATTATAATACGTTAATATGTTGTAATAGTATTATTCCATATCATGACAAATATAATATAATTATAATTATAATTATAATTATAATAATAATAATAACAATAAAAAAATATTTAATAAATTATTTCATATTTTCATAATTTTTGTGTCACTTTACTTTATTTAAAAAAAAAAAAAGTATTAATAAATGTATTTATAATTCAACACAGTCATCGTGCTAATATCATAAATGATTATCCAAAGTATTATAGTACTATGTGTGTATTACATTCTCTTAATTATTTGATAAACGTTTCCGTTGCAGTCTTCTTATCTACCTCATTAGTAAGCATAATGACCATGATAATGAAAATATATTGTAATATGACTGATATCGTAGAGATATTAATAAGTTTAGCGTAATAGAAAATAAGAGAGAAAGATTATTTTATTTATATTTTAAAATTATCAAAATAATGTAAAAAAAAAAAAAAAAACAGAAAAAAAAACATCCCCTACAATGATTTGAATTTTTCTTAGTTTCATTATTTATCGCATAATAACAATACAAATAGAAATAATAAATTTAAATAATTTATTGGTAATGATAGTTTTTAAATCGAAGCTAATAATATATTTAAAATATATCTTTGTTTTGTTTATTTTTTTTTTTTTTTTTAATAAAAGTATACAAAGATGTGAAGTCTTAGAGATTATAAATAATTTATTATTAAATTTTGGTTTCTACATAAGTGACCTAATTTTTTTATCTTGCAATTCGTCAGGAAGCCGACAACATTGCAAAACTTATCAATTATTAAGTTATCTATTTCCTTTCGAAGGAAGCTATATAAAGTAAGAAAATTATGGTAATAGTTATTAAAAAGGATTAATCGCACTGAAAACGGTTGTTACGTACAATATTTTAACTAGTTTTTATTTTTATTTAATAAAGACCGAATTTTTATGTTTTTTTTTTTTTTATAAATAAAGTATCGTTAATTAAATGTTATAGATATTGTTAAAATGATATTAGGTAAATTATTATTATTATTTATAGCAATAGTAACTGTTACTGCACTAACACAAGAAGAAAACGAATTGGAAAGGCATGAGTAAGTATTTATAAAGTAAAAATATTTTATATTAATTTTAATATTGAATATTAATCATTTTTACTTTGTTATAATTTTGTCAACATTATAATTAAATAAATCAATTGAATTAAATTATTATTTTTTTTTCTTTTATTTAGACGTACAATATTTGATTCAATTGTTAAAACTAAAAATGTTAAAAGAAAAAAATCATATGTTGGTGGTTGTACTGAAATACCAGATCCACCGGTTAATGGAAATATAAGATGTTCTATAGATAGGTATGTATTTTTAATAACAAATATATAATCATATAAAAATGCTATTGCACACACACACAAATATTTATTTAAAAAATTATTTATAATATATTATTCTTTTTAGTGGATGTATTGCTCGTTGTCAGGAAGGTCATCAATTTCCGAATGGAGTAAATCAATTAGCTGTAACATGTAGTAATAAAAAGTGGTATGTTGCTGGCACTGATTGGAGTACAATACCACATTGTGAACGTATGTTATATTTAAAAAAAAAACATGTATATTATCAGCTTAACAGTACAGTTATTGTATAATATAGTAAAATGTATTATAGTATAGTATATACAGGATGTTCTTGGTTTATATATTACAAATGGAATTGAAATAGTTTGATCAGTAAATTCTGAAACACCTTGTATATGATTTTAATATCTAATTATTTGTCATTAAATTTATTTTTATTATTATTATTATTATTTTAGCAATATGTATGCCAAGTTGTCAAAATAATGGAATTTGTTTCGCACCGGATCAATGTAATTGTCAAGAAAATTTTTCTGGACCACAATGTCAATTTGAAAATAAACCATGTTTGGATTCTTTGCCATCTGTTCTTAATTCTCATAAGCATTGTGATTCTAAGTAAGTTATTCACATTTTATTCATTTTTACACTTGTTTGTTTAATAACATTTTAATATGTATATATATTTTATTTTCAGATTTTGTACCGTAACTTGTTTGAAAAATTTTGTGTATCCAGATGGATCATCAATTGCTAATTTGGTTTGTGAAAGTGGTAACTGGGTACCAACCAGAACAGATTGGGTATCAATTCCAGATTGTACACGTAAGTTTAGAAAAACTGTACTATTTTGTTACATGTACTTATTTAAAAGATTTTTTTTCTAAATATTTTATTTTACAGCTGTTTGTAATCCACCGTGTCAGAATGGTGGTATTTGTCTTCCTAGAAATATATGTCAATGTCCACAAGAATTCAGAGGACCTCAATGTCAATATTGTAAACATTTTAAATATCTTTTTATAACAATATTTTAAACTTCATTCGTACATTAATCAATAATAATTATATTGTTTATAGCAATGAATGTTTGTAGCAGTGAAAAATTGAACTTCAACGGTGGTATTTCCTGTATCGGCTCGGAGAATATAAATTCTTGTAAATTAAATTGTCCACTTGGGATAGATTTTGAATTTGAACCAGCAGATGCTTATATTTGTAATTATGATACAGGAGTTTTCTTACCACAACCAATACCACAATGCATAGTTGATTATAGTATAAATATACATGTCGACAGTACTTTGTATAATTCGTATGTTCATAAATCTAATTTTACATGGTCATTTGAAAATATGTTTGAATCCAACGAAGAAAATGATTCCAGTGATTTGTTTGAATCCAACGAAGAAAATGATTCCAGTGATTTGTTTGAATTATATAGAGATGACGAAATGATGGAGGTAATTAAATATAATTCATAAAAAAAAAGGTTTTAGAGAATTTAGGTAACGTATTCATATATTTGTATTTTTTTTCAGGATTTATTTGAAATGTTGGATAATAACTTAGTAGTTATAGAAGAAAAACGACCAGAACCGAAGACTTGTTTTACATGGGGTGGTGCACATTATAAAACTTTTGACGATCAAATTTTCAACTTTGATAGTAATTGCAATCATATTATGTTGCAAGAGAAGAACAATGCTATTTTAACAATAGCTGTACAAAATAGTCCAAGTTGTCAAACGGAATTTCGTTGTTTTAGAATTATTCAATTTTTTATTGGTGAAAAAGAATACACTCTTTCACGAAATGAAAAAGATATACCTGAATTTCGTAGCATTAAAAAATCTTTTCCAATACCAGTTCAATTACCGGGATTACGCGTTGAGATGTCAGCCCATTTCATTATTGTTTATGTAGACTCCCTGGGAGTTAAATTGAAATGGGATGGAGCTTTTTTAGTACAAATAGATGCTTCTGAAACTATGTGGAATAGAACAGTAGGTTTATGTGGAAGAATGAATGGTGATCCTAATGATGATTTGATAGGTAAAACTGGGAATCATCCGACAAGTATCAAAGCATTAGCTAATAGTTGGGAAGTTGAAGATATTGGTGGTGAGTTTTAAAATCTGAAAATATTGAAAAATATTCAATATATAATTTTTCTTATATCTTATTATTTTTTATATTTCTAGAAACATGTAACGAAAATCCAAAAGAACAACATTCTTGCCCATCACATTCGCAACTTGCACAAGAAGCTTATGAATTTTGTTCACAATTATTATCAGATAATAAATTTCGAAGTTGTTCAAATACATTAAAGATTTCAGATTTGGAATTAGCTTGCGTTTGGGATTATTGTGCTTGTAATGATTTGGATAAAAGAACTTGTGCTTGCGAAACGATGAATGTTTATGTAAGACAATGTGCACATAAAGGGATTGTTTCTTTGGCTGGCTGGAGGAACGAAGATCTTTGTTGTAAGTTATTATTATAATTATTGTATTTTATTAAATTATTATCAAACTATGTATTTTTATCTTCTGCACAGCAATGCAATGTACAAAAGGACGTATTTACATGCCATGTGGACCAAAAGCGCAACCTTCTTGTGGTTCTGATATCGAATTTAATATAAATGATGCAGATTGCGAAGAAGGATGTTTCTGTCCTAAAGGTACTTTGATGCACGAAGATAAATGTGTACCACAAGAAGAATGTCCTTGTAGATTAAGAGGAAAACTATTTCATCCTGGAGCAAGTGTCGCAAAAGATTGCAATACTTGTACGTGTACTTCTGGCAAATGGATTTGCACGCAAGTTCAATGTAGTGCTAGATGTGCTATCATTGGCGACCCACATTATACAACTTTTGATGGGAAACATTATGATTTTATGGGTAAATGTAAATATTATCTATTGAAAGGCGAGGATTATAGCATTGAAAGTAAAAATGTTGCATGTTCTGGAGCAATATCAGAAGTAAGTAATTATTTTAGACAAATAAATGTTACATACTTCATTCATATATTGTCAAACAAGTAATTAAAGTATTTTTATTATATTTTTATTCAGTCTTTAGGTTTTACTCCCTCTGATACACCTTCTTGCACAAAGACAGTAACGATAAGAACAGAAAAAACAACTATCCAGTTAAAACAAGATAAACAATTGGTTATCAATGGAGAGGATATTAGTAAATTACCACTTTCTGTTAATGGAATTAAAATACAAGCTGCGAGTAGCATATTTCTCGTTGTTCGTATGTTGAATGGTTTAGAAGTATGGTGGGATGGCATATCACGTGTTTATATTAATGCACCTGCAGAATTTCATAGTACGTTTGATACCAAATTTTTGTATTGTGATTTATTTTTCTTTTAGATATTTTAAAACAAAATAAATTTTTAATTTTATTTTGTATATTTTATTAGGTAAAACAAAAGGATTGTGTGGAACATTTTCTAACAATCAGAAAGATGATTTTATAACACCAGACGGTGATATTGAACAGGTAGTAACTCTGTTTGCTAATAAATGGAAAACGAACGAACAATGTTTAGATGTTCATGAAAGAGAACCAAAACATCCTTGCGATTTGAATCCACAAAAACGTGAATTTGCTAAAGAATATTGTTCTAAATTGTATACAGATATATTTGCTGGTAATTG